CAAGTTGAGCATCTTTTCACATATCCATTGGCCATTTGTCTTCTTGGGAGAAGTGTCTGTTCAGATCCTCTGTCCTTTTTTTTCCCCTCTATTTTTTTAAAATATACATTTGTATTATTGATAGTATTACAGATATCTCCCATTTTCTCCTCCTTTCACCTCCTTCTCCCAGCCCCTACCCACTCCCCTATGTCTTCACCACCTACTTCCCGTGTCCATGGGCTATGCATATAAGTATATAAGTTCTTTGGTTTATCACTTCTTACCCCCCCCTCCCCACCCCACATCGAGGTATGTCAGTCTGTTCCATGCCTCCCTGCTTCAGGTCTTATTTTGTTGGTAAATTCCTTTTGTTCATTAGATTCCACAAATAGGTGAGATCATGTGATATTTCTCTTTCTCAGTTTGACTTATTTCACATAGCATAATATTCTCCAGATCCATCCATGCTGTCCCAAAGGGTAAGAGATCCCTATTTTTCACAGCTGCATAGTATTCCATAGTGTAAATGTCCCACAGCTTTTTTATCCAATCATCTACTGATTGGAACTCGGGCTGTTTCCAATTCTTAGCTATTGAAAATAATGCTGCTATGAACATAGGAGGGCATATATTCTTTCTGATAGTGTTTTGGGGTTTTTAGGATATATTCCAAGAAGTGGGGTCACTGGGTCAAATGGAAATTACATTTTTAACTTTTAAAGGAAACTCCATACTGCTGTCCATAGTGGCTGCACCAATCTGCATTTCCACCAGCAGTGAACTTGTGCTCCCTTTTCTCCACATCCTGGCTAGCACTTGTTGTCTGTTGATTTTTCTGATGATAGACATTCTGACAGGTGTGAGGTGATATCTCATTGTCATTTTAATTTGCATCTCTCTGATGATCAGTGTCTTTGATCATTTTTTCATGTGTCTCTTGGCCATTAGTATGTCCTCTTTGGAGAAATGTCTAATCAGGTCTTCTGCCCATTTTTTAAATTGGGTTGCTTGTCTTCTTTTCGTTGAGTTGTATGAGTAATTTATATATTTGGCATATAAATCCCTTATCAGATGTATCATTGGCAAATACGTTTTCCCATTCAGTGGGTTCCCTTTTCAATTTGATGGTGGTTTCTTTTGCTGTGCAGAAGCTTTTTATTTTCATGTAGCCCCATTTGTTTATTTTCTCCTTAGTTTCCTTTGCCCTAGGAGATGTATCCATAAATATATTGTCACATGAGATGTATGAGATTTTACTGCTTATGTTTTCATCTAAGATTTTTATGGTTTCATGCCGTACATTTAAGTCTTTTACCTACCTTGAGTTTATTCTTGTGTATGGGACAAGTTGGTGGCCTCGTTTCATGTGTCTTTCCAGTTTTCCCAACACCATTTGTCTTTACTCCATTGTATGTTCTTGCCTCCTTTGTCAAATATTATTTGACCACAATGGTGTGGGTCAATTTCTGGGGTCTGTGTTCTGATCCATTGGTCTATATGCCTGTTCTTATGCCCCATACCAGGCTATTTTTGTTGTAATGGCTTTGTAGTATAGTTTGATATTTAGTATTGTGATCCCTTCTACTCATTCTTTTTTCTCAAGATAGCTGCAGCTATCTGGGGTCTTTTATGGTTCCATATACATTTTTGGAGTATTTGTTCTAACTCTGTGAAGTATGCCATTGGTATTTTAATAAGGATTGCTTTGAATCAGATTTCTTTGGGTAGTATAGACACTTTAATGATGTTAGTTCTTCCAATCTATTAACATGATATACACTATTTGTTTGTATCTTCCTCTATTTCTTTTTTGAATGTCCTTTAGTTTTCCAAGTACAAGTCTTTTAACTACTTTAAATTTATTCATTTTTTAATAGGATTGTATGTTTGGTGTTGAGTTGTATGAGTCCTTTATATAATTTGGATATTAAAGCCTTGTCAGAGCTGTTGTTTGCAAATATCTTCTCCCATTTGGTTGTTGCTTTTTTGTTTCATTGGCAATTTCCTTTGCTGTGCAGAAGCTTTTAGTTTGATACAGTCTCATTCATTTATTTTTCCTTTTATACCCCTTGCCTTTGGGGACAAATTCATAAACTATTTTCTAAGACCAAGGCTCATAAGTTTAATATGTACATTTTCTTCTATGTAATGTATTGTTTCTGATCTTATACTTAGGTTTTTGATCCATTTTGAATGAATTTTTGTACATGGCACAAACTCTACTCTAGTTTTATTCTTTTGCATGTGACTTTTCAATTTTCCCAGTACCATTTATTGAAGGGGCTTTCCTTTCTTCATTGTAGGTTTTTGATTCATTTGTCTAAAATTTATTTGTCCATATACATGTGGTTTTATTTCTGGGATCTCAATTCTATTCTTTGGTCTGTGTATCTATTTTACTACCAATACCATAGTTTTGTTTTTTTATTATGTTTATTCTGTAGTATAATTTTATGGCAGGTAGTGTGATACCTTCAGCTTTTTTCTTTTTTCTGAGGATTGCTTTGTCTCTTTACTTCCTTTTGTAGTTCCATATAAATCTGATGATTTTTTGTTCTATTTATTCTTAAAATGTCATTGAGATTTTAATGGGATTGTATAAAATCTGTATATTGCTTTGGGTAATATGGACATTTAGTTATGTTGATTTTTCTAATCCATGAACACAGAAAGTCTTTCCATTTCATTTTGTCTTTTTCCATCTCTTTTAATAATGCTTTGTATTTTTTCAGTAGATAAGTCCTTCACTTCCTTTGTATTTTATTTATTTATTTTGCAATTGCAAAAGGAATTCTTTTCCATATCTTTTACTGAAATGTCATTGCTAGTATATAGGAATGCAGGGGATTTTTGTACATTGAGTTTTGTATCCTGCTACTTTACAATATTTGTTTATTGTTTCTAATTTTTTTGGTGGAGTCTTTAGGGTTTTATATATAAAGAATCATGTCATCTGTCAAAGTGACACTTTTATTTCTTCATTCCTAATTTGGATGCCTTTTATTTCTTTCTCTAGCTTGATTTTTTAAATATATGGTTAATGTCACTGCCCACTGTAAGCCACCATCATCTTTCACATGAATGATTACAATAACTGCTGCCTATTTACTCATTCTTTCATTATTGTCCCTCCTCCACCCACAGTATATTTTCTACAAAAGAGCCAGTTGATCAGTTAAAATGAAAATCAGATCATATCACTTTATACTTAAAGCCTTCAATGGATTTTCAACACCCTTAGAAAAAAATCCGAACTCCTTACCATGGCCTGCATCATCTGGCCTTAGGCTACCTCTTCATTCTTAACTTGTGCCACTCTCCTACTACAATACTCCAGTTACACTGATTATCTGTCTTTTCTCCTATTAATGTAAGTTTGCTCCTGTCCCAGGGTATTTTGTATTTGCATTTGCTTTTTATCTTCAAGTCTCAGATCAAATGACATTTATTTAGAGAAGCCTGATATTACTCTCTATCACAGGGGCTGCAAAAAAAAGCTTCAAGGGTCCAGGAAATAGGGAATAGTGAGTGAAGCAGCTAGTTGGAGACTGTGGGAGAACCTGATAATCCATGCCCTATTTAAAGACATTTACTACTCAGCTTCAGCTAATTTCTGCATGCAGAAATGCAGATTGTTTGAGTTTTCAAGAGAAGCTAGAAATCTGGATTTTCACTTGGTAATATTTTAATTGTTAAAGATTAGTAACAAATGCAAAGTTTTAACAGACACAGAGATCAGACAAAATATAAACCTGAATCCAATACATCCAATATGCCTCTTCTTTGTAATCACTGCTTTATCACATAATTCTGTTTTCTACTATCTGAAACTGTATAATTTTGTGTCTGTCTTCTTTTCAGAAGATATTAGTATGCCTTAAGACTTTGCTTAAAAATTATAATCACCATATGACATTAATGCTCTAACAAAATTAACAGCAAGTCCTTAAAATAATCTAATACTCAGACCATATTAAAATTTCCCCCATTGTCATATAGAATCTTAATAAATATTTATTAAGTAAATGATAAATGAACATAAATAACTAAAGTACACTTCCTAAAGTTTTGAAACAGAATCTTTTTGTCAAAAGAGCCTTATTTTTCAAATTTGAAAAAGCAAACAATTAGTTCAGTTAGTATAATTCTAGTCATGCATATAAAAACTAACAGTAAAACTCCACAGTAGATATTTACCCAGGAAAAATGAAGGCATATTTCTCCACAAATACTTGTACAAGAATGTTCTCAGCAGGTTAACTCACAATATCTAAGCAGCAGAAACAACCCAAATGTGCATTAATGTGTAAATGGATAAATAAACTATGAAATATTCACACAATGAAATATTACTCAGCAATAAAATACACAGCAATGTAAGTCCCAAAGGCATTATGCTGAATACAATAAGGCAGACAAAATAGTAAATACGGTATATATTTATTTATATAAAAGTCTAGAGCAGATAAAACTAATATATGGAGGAAAAAATATCATAATAGTGGCTGTATTTAGTGAGAAGGAGCATGAAAGAACATTCTGGAGTATGGTAATATTTATAGAGATTTTGGTTACACGAGTGTGTACATTTGTGGAAATGCTGAATGGTACATTTATGATTTGTGCTTGTTTTTATATGTATATTTCATCCTCAAAAGAATTATAAAATATTTAATTTAAATATGTACTGATATCTGCTACTTACATTTAAATGCACCAAAAATAATTAAGCTTTATGAATGATGGATAGAGGAATGAGTTTGTGAACAGGTGTTTGATAAATCAATATAGTTCAATGTTAGTAGTGGACTGTAGTGGTGGGCATACAAATTTTTATTGTATAATTCTTCCATCTTGGATAAAATTTTGAAATTTTTTATAATAAAATGCTGAGAAAGATGCCATATTGTTTTTCAGAAGAGAAGAGAAAAAAAGGGGCTAGCCTAAGGATATATATGTCTTAGACTTTCTGAGACACTTGCTGATCTGCCTCTCTGGTTGACTTTGGATGAACTGACCTCCACTTCCAGTCCTTGTGTAAACTGGTAGCTTCTTGGCAATATCAACGAGGATCTGCTTTTGGACATCAGGTCTCTCTTCATTTTCATAGCGCTCCTTGTCTGTATAGGATAAATGAAACTGGAAGCAGAAGTGAGAAGCAAGTATTTATTTCCCAAGGTTCACAAAAAAATTAAAAACAACAATAGTCATTGAGAAGAAGAGATTTGTTACCTATCCTGAAGCTCACTTACCTATTTGGCATATAACTTTCTCTGGAGAATTATCTCAACTAGCTATCTGGCTTTTATCTCAATCTTTATAACTCTGCATGATAGGTCGTTTTGTTTTATAAGTAAAATAAAACTTATATTAAGTAACTTGAGCATTGTTACATGCACTCAACCAGTAAGTAGCAAAACTAAGCCCAAACCCAGTTCACCGTACTCCAAGACTTGTACCCTGTATACTACAATATGATATTACATTCTGATGTGTGATGTCTTACTGATAGGACCCTAATAACTATGAATAACTATGCTTATTATTAAGTTTTGAGTATTTTTCATAGGTGACACTTTTGTAGGATCTGGATGAGGCTGCTTGCGAGATTATCTGGATATTCTAATTTTGAAAATAAGTAGAAATTTGGATATTCTCACGATTTCAATAATTTGTACTCTGGTATGAAGCTTCTTGCCATGTCTGCACCATACCTTGCTAATCTTGCAAAAGATATTCCAACAATTTTCCAAAGTAACACAGACCTTAAAGCTTTCTTCTGTCTGGGCCAAAGTGTAGGTAAATGTGAAAAAAGAGAAGGACCTCTGTTCATATTTTCTGGGTTTAAGTCTCATATCTGCAACTTGATAGTTTAAAAAATTACTTTGGAAAATCAGACTCTGTCATTCTAAAGTTATCCAACAGTAAAACAGAGGCAATAATAACTATTTAACACACACAAAAATAAATGTGACTAAGCTTCAAAAAAATATGGTTTTCTCTGGCTGGAGAAAATTAAATATTTGTTATGAATTCTTTACAATAAATTTCAAAAAGTGGTATGCCAGGCCACAAAATATACAAAATTATAAGGCCTTTGATACATATTACCAAACTATCTTTTAGTTATTTAACAATTTACCTTCTAACTAGTATACCATTTTTATTGTCTTTTTTGTGATTTTTCTGAATTTCATACAAAAATCATTTATTACTTTAAATTGAAGAAAAAATAAATTATTGTTTTAATCTTTATTGTTCGGATTATTACAGATGTTCCTCTTTTTTCTCCCCCTAGCTCTCCTCCACCTGGTTCCCACCCCACTCCAGGCCTTCCCTCCACTCCCCCACTAACCTCGTCCATAGGTGTAAACTCTCTGTCCAATCTCTTCCCACACCCCCGACAACCCCTTCCCCCTGAAAATTGTCAGTCTGCTCCATTTCCATGCTCCTGATTCTATTACATTCACCAGTCTGTTCTGTTCATCAGGTTTTTTATTCATTTGATTTTTAGGTTCACTTGTTGATAGATATGTATTTGTTGTCACTTTGTTTTTCATATTTTTTTCTCTTTACCTTTTTCTTCTTCTTCCTATTCTTAGAGAATACCCTTCAGCATTTCATATAATACTGGTTTAGTGGTCATGAACTCCTTTAGCTTTTTCTTGTCTGTGAAGCTCTTTATCTGACCTTCAATTCTAAATGATAGCTTTGCTGGGTAGAGTAATCTTGGTTGTAGGTTCTTGGTATTCATCACTTTGAATATTTCTTGCCACTCCCTTCTGGCCTGCATAGTTTTTTGTTGAGAAATCAGCTGACATTCGTATGAGTACTCTCTTGTAAGTAACTAACTGTTTTTTTCTTGCTGCTTTTAAGATTCTCTCTTTGTCTTTTACCCTTGGCATTTTAATTATGATGTGTCTTGGTGTGGTCCTCTTTGGATTCCTCTTGTTTGGGGTTCTCTGCGATTCCTGGACTTGTAAGTCAATTTCTATCACCACGTAGGGAAAGTTTTCTGTCATTATTTCTTCAAATAGGTTTTCAATATCTTGCTCTCTCTCTTCTTCTGGCACCCCCATAATTCGGATGTTGGTACACTTGAAGTTGTCCCAGAGGCTCCTTACACTATCTTCATATTTTTGGATTCTTTTTGCTTTTTGCTTTTCCAGTTGGGTGTTTTGTGCTTCTTCATATTTCAAATCTTTGACTTGATTCTTGGGATCCTCTAGTCTGATGTTGGATCTCTGTATATTATTCTTTATTTCAGTCAGTGTATGCTTAATTATTGATTGGTTCTTTTTCATATCCTTAAGGGTCTCACTAAATTTCTTGGAGGTTTCTAGAAGATTCTTGAGTAACCTTATAACCGTGGTTTTGAACTCTATATCCAGTATTTTGCTTTCATCCATTTCTTTCATTTGTGACTTGTTTCATTGTCTCTTCATTTTGGCTGCTTCCCTGTGTTTGTTTCTATGTACTAGGTAGCTACTAAGTCTCCTTGAGTTGATAGAGTGGCCTTGTGTGGTAGGTGTCCTATAGGGCCCAGTGACTCAGCCTCCCCAGTAACCAGAGGTGAACACTCTTGATGCACATCTTTGTGGTCTGTTTGCACAGTCTCATTGTAGTTAACCCTTGATTCCTGTTGGTATCACTGGGAGGAATTGACCTCCAGGACAATTGGTGTGATGACCAGCTGCGTCTATATTGGAAGATCTATTGCACAGGAGACACCCTTATGGGGCAGGACTTGATTCAGTGGGGCTTTGGTGCTCACTGAGTCTTCCCCTTGAGTGTGTCGCTTATGGTTGTGAAGAGTTGTAAAATTGTATGGTCTCACTCTGACCACTGGGTACACTGGCTCTTGGATCTCCAAGGAGGTACAAGGTCAGCTACTGTCTGGGGTTGCCCAGCAGGAGAATCAGAGACAACTGCAGATTCCTCCTCTTTGTATGAGGTTTGGAAGTGCTCAGACGAGGCCCAGCTGTGAAGCAAGGCAGGCTGCTGCTGCCAGGACTTGAGCCTTCTTTTAGAAGCTCTGGGGCTCTCTGACCCACCTGCAATTTGACAGGTTTTAGGCAGAGAAAGGACAAGCTATTTATAGGCAAAAGCCAATGCGCACAGCTTGGGTGGGATTGTAAAGTGGGTGGGATGGGGTCTCTGGGAACCACCAGGGTGGAGCAAACAGCAATGGCTGCCAGTCAGCTCTGCATTGGAGAGGTCCCCGGGTCTCCACATTCCACACCCCCATGCAGGAACAATGATCACTGAGAGTACCTCTGAGAGAAAGCCGCTTTCGTGTTCCTATCCCGATGCCAGACAGTCCAGTTTCTCCCCATATGTGTCTGGGTCCCCCAGAGTCTCACCCAGAACTGGATTTCAGAGCAAGCAGAGCTTGTATCTCCCTCCTGATTAAAAGAGCAGCATATCCAGGTACCAGCACTTTCCGTGCTGCCACACCTCTTACCAGTCTTAATGTGCTTTCTTCACCTCTTCAGTTGTGGAACTTCCACTGAGCCAGCTTTCCCGTGGTTCTGGGTGGTAGTTGTTCTGCCTTTTTTTTTTTTTTTAAATGTGTCCTCATCCCCCCCATTAACCCCCAACCTCCCCCCCACACACAAACTCATGCTCCCATCCCCCCGTTGTCCATGTCCATTGGTTTGGCTTATATACATGTATACAAGTCCTTCGGTTGATCTCTTCCCCTTACCCCCGCCCTCCCCTACTTTCTTTCTGGGGATTGATAGCCTGATTGCTGTTTCTCAGTCTTTGGGTCTGTCCCTTTTCATCAGTCTATGTTGTTCTCTATAATCCACAAATGAGTGAGATCATGTGGTATTTATCTTTCTCTGACTGGCTTATTTCACTTAGCATAATGCTCTCCAGTTCCATCCATGCTGTTGCAAAAGGCAAGAGTTCCTTTTTTTTTACCGCAGCATAGTATTCCATTGTGTATATGTACCACAGTTTTCTAATCCACTCATCTGCTGATGGGCACTTAGGCTGTTTCCAAATCTTAGCTATGGTGAATTGTGCTGCTATGAACATAGGGGTGCATATATCCTTTCTGATTGGCGTTTCTGGTTTCTTGGGATATATTCCTAGTAGTGGGATCACTGGGTCAAATGGGAGTTCCATTTTTAGTCTTCTGAGGTAGCTCCATACTGTTCTCCACAGTGGCTGCACCAGCCTGCATTCCCACCAGCAGTGCAGAAGGGTTCCTTTTTCTCCACATCCTCTCCAACACTTGTTGTTTGTTGATTTGTTGATGATAGCCATTCTGACAGGTGTGAGATGATAACGCATTGTCGTTTTGATTTGCATCTCTCGTATAATTAGTGACTTTGAGCAGGTTTTCATATGTCTTTCGGCCTTCTGTATGTCCTCTTTCGAAAAGTGTCTATCTAAGTCCGTTGCCCATTTTTTTATTGGATTGTTTATCTTCCTTTTGTTAAGTTTCATGAGATCCCTGTAAATGTTGGAAATTAAACCCTTATCGGTGGTATCATTGGCAAATATGTTCTCCCATGTAGTGGGTCTTCTTGTTGTTTTGTTGATGGTTTCCTTTGCTGTGCAAAAGCTTTTTATTTTGATGTAGTCCCATTTGTTTATTTTCTCTTTAGTTTCCATTGCCCTAGGAGCATTATCAGAGAAGAAATTTCTTTGGCATATGTTTGCGATTTCGCTGCCTGTGGATTCCTCTAGTATTTTAATGGTTTCCCGTCTTACGTTTAAGTCTTTTATCCATTTTGAGTTTATTTTTGTGTATGGTGTGAGTTGGTGATCTAGTTTCATCCTTTGGCATGTATCTGTCCAATTTTCCCAACACCATTTATTGAAAAGACTGTCTTGACTCCATTGTATGCTCTTGCCTCCTTTGTCGAATATTAATTGGGCATAGTGGTTTGGGTCGATTTCTGGGGTCTCTATTCTATTCCATTGATCTATATGTCTGTTCTTGTGCCAGTACCAAGCTGTTTTAAGAACAGTGGCTTTGTAATACAATTTGATATCTGGTATTGAGATCCCACCTACTTTGTTCTTTCTCAGGATTGCTGCAGCTATTCGGGGTCTTTTTTTATTCCAGATGAATTTTTGGAACGTTCGTTCTAGATCTGTGAAATATGCTGTTGGTAATTTAA